GGCCTTTGGTGGGGCTACCTATGGGGCCACGGAGCGTGTGAAGGATGTGCCGAATTGGGCGTGGGTTGCGCATGCGGGCGGCAGCACTGGGGCCTTCGGTGGGGCTCCCTATGGGGCCACGAAGCGTGTGAGGGGTGTGCCGAAGTGGGCGTGGGCGACGCATGCGGGCGGCAGCGCTGGGGCCTTCGGTGGGGCTCCCTATGGGGCCACGAAGCGTGTGAAGGGTGTGCCGAATTGGGCGTGGGTGACGCACGCGGGCGGCAGCACTGGGGCCTTCGGTGGGGCTCCCTATGGGGCCACGAAGCGTGTGAAGGGTGCGCCGAATTGGGTGTGGGCGACGCATGCGGGCGGCAGCACTGGGGCCTTCGGTGGGGCTCCCTATGGGGCCACGAAGCGTGTGAGGGGTGTGCCGAACGCGTGGGCGGCAGCACTGGGGCCTTCGGCGGGGCTCCTATGGGGCCACGAAGCGTGTGAATGGTGTGCCGAACTGGGTGTGCGTGGCGCATGCGGGCGGCAGCGCTGGGGCCTTCGGTGGGGCCCCTACGGGGCCACGAAGCGTGTGAAGGGTGTGCCGAATTAGGTGTGGGTGGCGCGTGCGGGCGGCAGCGCTGCGGCCTTCGGTGGGGCTCCCTATGGGGCCACGAAGCGTGTGAGGGGCATGCCGAATTTGGTGTGGGTGACGCATGCGGGCGGCAGCACTGGGGCCTTCGGCGGGGCTCCCTATGGGGCCACGAAACGTGTGAGGGGTGTGCCGAATTGGGTGTGGGCGACGCATGCAGGCGGCAGCGCTGGGGCCTTCGGTGGGGCTCCCTATGGGGCCACGGAACGTGTGAGGGGTGTGCCGAAGTGGGTGTGGGTGACGCATGCGGGCGGCAGCGCTGGGGCCTTCGGCGGGGCTCCCTACGGGGCCACGAAACGCGTGAGGGGTGCGCCGAAATGGAGGAGGGAGGAGGGAGGAGGGGGAGGAGGAGAGGAAAGGAGAAGAGGAGAAGAGAGGAGAACGCGGGGCGACGTCCCTTCAAAACGAGGACCCAACACCACAGGATGGTTGGGAACACAATCGCGGCCTCATCGAGCCTCTGGGGGGTCTCCTTGCAGCGGGCAACATTTTGAATGAAGCGCGAGAACCCAGAAAGCAGCGAAAGCAACTTGGAACGCTGCTTAGGCACCAGCGGGCCCACTGCGTCGGACTGCTGCGGCCTCTGAATCTGCTGCGCAAGAAGCTGGCGAGACTTGCTAATGTGCTTGATCCACGTCAGAGCTGTGGGCCAAGCTCACGCAAATAGATAATCGTAGGTTCTCTCCTTGGGAGGGCACCGAACGAGTTTTCCCCAACGGACCTCGGGGGGGTCGCCGCGGCCAACGCAGGCGTCGGCGCCGACGCCAGCGGCGCCCCAACGCCCCGCCAACTTTCGCCAGATCACAAAAACTCTGCAAAGCGCCCGCGTACTTCACAGTCGGCGCGGCCACAACTGAAACGCTCTGCCAAGGATCACAAGGAATGCGCGAGCAACTAATAGGGGGCACCGCTGGGAAACGTTCGGGTCGTCGCGACGTGCGCGCCCAAACAGGCCTGGCACGCGCAGCCAGGTGGGCGGCCGCCAGCAAATGAGGGCGCGCACCACCGTCCTCGATTAGCCTGATAGGCGCGATCATGATAGGCACCAGCCAACTGCTGGAGACGATGTAGTCATAGTTGCTGCCTGGCGCCGCTTGGCGACGCGCGGTGGCTGTTGGCACGCGCGGCGCCCCGCCGACCGCCGCGACCCAATCGAACTGCCGCAGAGCCCCTGGTTCCGCAATCCAGTCAGCCCTAGCAAGCCAAGGAAAATGTTTGCCGTTAGGTATCGCCGGGAACTCAACCAACCTCTAAAGCGGGCTAGCATTCTGCGGGCTCGTTCCCGCCGAATCCTGACAGTAGGCAGAAACAAACGCGACGCGGCCCGCCAGAAAGGGGCGCGCACGTGCTGCACGGGCGCGGCCTGGCGCCAACACTGGCGAATCCAGCCCAGGAGGGACAGCGGCTGTCCACTTGGATCTCGCAAGAACCGCCGCTCCTCCCGCGGCGCCAGGCCCACCGTCCTCATCGGGTACTTCGGGCGCTCGTGTCATCGGCATGGGTGTCCTTGTCGGCAAAGCTCTCGCTGCCCACGTGGCGCTCTTGAACCGTCGCCTCGTCGTCGGTGGCCGACGCAAAGTGCCCCATCAAGGGCCCGTGACTGGTAGTGTCGACCGTAAACCATGCGTCCACGCACGACCTGGCCCCCCGCCCCAGACGCTGAATGCCGCGGGGCCGCGGCGACATCCACCGACCTGTCGCGCGCCCCCTCTCCACCGCCCTTCGCTGATATAGGCCGCGCGGAGCAGTGCTGTTTGGCGCGGCGACCGCCCTGTCTAGCACCAGCTGGCTGACCTGGGGCATCCTGTCCTGGGACGCGCACGTTGAAGTAGGGGTGGCCATCGGGGACGACGACCAGGCAATTGACGCGCGCATTGCGTCGCGACGGGCTGCAAGCGCCCCCGGCGAGCCCTGCGCTGACCTGGCCTGGCGGGGCCTGCGCTCCCTGACCAAGTGGGCGAACCGGCGTGGCGGGGCGGCCCCGCAGCGGCCAGCGCAGCCCCCAAATTCCTCAAGCGGAAGCACAGCAGCCCGCGCATGGGAGGCCGAAATCGACGCACGCGTTGCATCGCAGCTTGCCGCCGCCGCCCCCAGCGATTCCCGCCGAGCGGGCGAGCCGGCGCGGGGGGGGGCGACCCCGCGGCAGGCAGCGAGGCCCCCGCTTTCTCGGGCGATCGCGCAGCAGCTCTCGCATGGGAAGCCGAAACTGGAGGAGAGGAAGAAATGCCCGCCCCCGCAACTGGCAGGGAACTGCCGCGGGAAACCAGAGGTGCGCACGCCATCCTGAAGTCCATCTCGTGGTCTCCCCCAGCTGTCGCAGTGCTCTGAGGCTTGGTATATGACGAAACGTTCAGGGCGGCGTCGCCGCCCTCTAGCCGCTCCGCGGGGTCGACCTCTGTCGCGTCAAAGGATGAGACGGGTCGTGGAACGCGTGGGCCAGTAGCAGGGCCCACGCCTGCGCGATGTGCTGTAGGGCGCATCATCACGACGAGGGTTGCCAATATACTGGCCGAAACGGACCGAGACCCTATCATCCATGACGTGCCGCACGAATCTTCTTGTAGACCTGGAAGGTATGCTGGAGGTGCCGCTTGAGCTTCTCTCGAAGGCATTGTGCGGTACGGGCCTCCTCCTCTTCGGACGCACCCACTGGCTCCTGAATCCCCGGAACACCGCATGCCTGGAGATGGGCTCGAAGAGTAGTAACGCCCATAGCATCCACATGTGTGAATCCATCCTCCGCGACAACATGCATGGGCTCGGACTCGCCCTCCGTTGCCGCCGATCCGTCTTCCGCAGACTCTGGCGGTGTCGACGGTGCTGGCTGAGCCACTCATTCCTCCTTGAGCTTCTTCACTGTTGCGGCCCTGGCCTGAAGGTCTGTCGCGAACTTCTCGCTGCCTCACATTGCCTTGATGACCGCGTCGAACTGCTGCACTGTTGCCTCAAACCCAGGGTTGAGCGAATGTACTGAGGGCTTGCCATCTGCTCCCGCAAGAACTGTGGGAATGACGCTCCGCCGACTCTTTTTCAGCACGAGTACTCTCCACAAACTCTTTCGCCTTGGCCGCAGCCTCCTCAGCACTTCGGAGCTTGTTGGTGATCGTGGAGAGCTTACTCCACGTATATTGACTTCCTGCGGCTTATCAACCACCATTTCGGCCAACAGCTTCCCTCTCTCAACAACATGTTTGGTATTGGCGTCGGCGTCCTTCTCGTCCAGCGCAGCCAGGATACGATCCAACTTCACCAGACGGGTGCGCTTCTGTGTAGGTGGCGGATCATCCCTTTTGGCCCGCAGAGACGATGCAGCAGCAGACGAAGCCTGGGACACACCGAACTTGGCCATCTGTTGCTGCAACTCCCGGACCTGCTTCGCGCTCCTCGAACCGAAACAGGGACAGCTGCGCGCTTGACAGGGGCCTTCGGGGAGGAACACCTTTGACCGCAGTGCCCTTGGGCAGCCCGCAGAGAGCGCATGCCTTCTTGACAGCTCGGTTGATCCATGGAGTCCCGCTGGGCTTATGAGTGCACCACTTGCAACGCCACGGCTCATCCTGGGCGGCGCGCCGCTGGGGCGCCAGACTGCACGCACGAACAACAATGCATACGTGGTGAAGGATGTCACCCGCAATGAAGCGAGCGACCTGTGATAGGAAAGTTCTGCGAGGAGCACAGACAGAATAGCTCACTATAAGCCACCTCGAGGAATGGTTTACTTGAGCCAATTACCGCAGTGCGACCCGACCTAGAAGTTGGAACCCCCAGAAAAGCAGCATTAGTTGCTATGCTATGCCATGCCATGCTATGCTGCGCTATGCTATGCTATGGTATGCTATGATATGCTATGATATGCTATGATATGCTGCGATATGCTATGCTATGATATGCTATGCTATGCTACGCTATGCTATGATATGATACTATGTCATGCTGCGCTGTGCTAAGCTATGTTAAGCTATGCTATGATATGATATGCTGAGCTGCGCTATGCTATGCTATGCTATGCTATGCTATGCTATGATGCGCTATGATATGCTATGATGTGCGTGGTTATGGTATGCTATGCTATGCTATGCTATGCTAATGCAGCGCTGCGCTATGCTAAGCTAAGCCAACCCTCTAGGCAGAGCCTAGGTAGGGAAAGCTAAGCTAAGATGAGATAAGCAACGCTAAACTAAGGGGACGTAACTGGGGGAACCGTGGGGCGGATCCTGGGGGAACCGCCCGGGGCGTTTTCCACTGCCCGGCCCTTTAAGCCAACAGGGTAAGAACCCTTCTAGGCAGAGCCCAGGTAGGGAAAATGGTTTGAGCCAAAACGGCTACGGAAGGAGGAGGAGGAGGAGGAGGAAAAGAAGAGGCGGACGAGGGGGGAAGGGGCGGGGAGGGAGGGAGGGAGGGGAGGATCCTATGAGACGCCTATGGGGGCACCCCTACGCGCGGGGTACGAACTCAGCCGCCAGCCGCCGGCATGCGGCAAGTACGGCCGCGACCAGCCACTGCTAGGCAGGTCACACCACCCAATTCAGCCCACCTTGGCTCCGCCGCTAGCTTTGCTCTCGCAGGGCCACATACGCCCCTGCCACTTTACCCATTTCCACCATGTCCTTTGCTCCTGGGGTGCTCTGACCAAGACACCGACGCGAATACAGCGGTGGCGACGAGGGCCTCCCAGGAGGCCCGAAAATAGGGAATCGAGGCAAGGGTAGCGATATTGGTACCTTTTCCTCCTCTGATCTTCCCCTCCAGCGCGTTCGTCGCAGTCCTCCAGTCGTCACAAGTTCGTCGCCGCATTCCCGCCTTCCCCTCCCCCCAAGGATCCAGTTTCTCCGCCCCCTTGGGGGGGGGGGGGGGGGCTTCCTCGCCCTCACGGTCCCCCTCGTGTCAACCTTTACTTCTGCAGCCGCACGAGTTTGATCCCCACCCACCCCAAGGGTGACCGCCCCTGGGGAGGGGGGAATGCCGCGTCAGATTCCGAACCTCACGCGCACAGCGACAGCGACAAGAGGGGGAGGAGGAGGAGGAGGAGGAGGAGGAGGAGGAGGAGGAGGAGGAGGAGGAGGAGGAGGACAACTTCGAGTGGACGATTTTGGCTGCGGGGCGCCCCTGTAGAGTGCCGTGTTCAACTTGGCCGCGGGCGAAAGGAGGGAGGAGATGATGATGATGAGGATGATGATGATGGTGGTGATGGTGATGGTGATGGTGATGATGATGATGATGATGATGATGATGTTGATAATGATCATGATGACGACGACGACAACGTCGATGATGATGACGATGGTGATGATGACGATTCCGATGCTGGACATGATGATGCTGGCGGTGATGCTGATGATAGTGATGTTGATCACGATGACGATGCTGATGATGATGCTGATGACGACGATGACGCTGATGATGGTGGTGATGATGATGTTGATAATGATGATGGTACTGATTATGATGCTGATTATGATGATGACCGTGATGGTACTGATGATGATGCCGATGATAAAGACGATGATGATGTTGATGCGAATGATGATGAGGAAACTGATGATTACGAAGATTATGATGATGACAATAATGCTGCTGATGATGATGATCGCACTGCATTGGGAGAAGAGAAGTGTGGACAAGAAACGGGGGGAGAGGACAAGAGGGCAGGCGGACAAGAAACGAACGAGGGGGGAGATAAAGGACCAGTCCTCGGCACACACACACACACACCAGCGCCGAGAGCCGTCTAGCTCCCCACAGGGTGCTAGGGCCGACGCAGCAGCCTCCTGACGGCCAGCCGGTTTTTAGCGATAGCCCTGGTTCGGGCCGCCAACAACGGGCGGACACATTCGGGGCCCCAGCGGTTTCGAACCCGAAGCGAGTTGAAGGTAACGAAAATCAAATCAGGAACTAAAATCGCACTGTAAATCTCGTCAAGATCCGCACATCCCCCTGAGGAGCACAACATACGGCCCTGGATGGACATCATGCTGCAACTGGCTGGAAGGCGCGGGAGGAAAGAGGGAAGCAGGCTCACGACGACAGGGCACTCAAAGTAGTGCAACAGCTGGTCTCCGCCGACCGAGTGCATCCGAATCGGCAGGCGAGTCTGCCCTGCCGATACCTAGATGAGGTAGCCCAGGAGTTGCAAACACTTCTCATGAAGGCAGAGCCTACAAACGGAGCAAGTTTTGTACAGCATAGCCGAAGCCTCCTCACCGTCACATCGACAACGCTCGGACAAATGTGGGGGGAAGCGTGGAGAACTTGAGGCCCCAACAACTCGTGGGCACGTCGCCCTGGGAACCCTTCTTTCAGTTTTTTTTCAGCACTGTGCGTTGCAACTCGTGGGTGTCCTCATCGTACACGCACCGTGGCAAGGCAGTCGGCTGCCGATAGTTCTCAATAATCTGAAATGCCATAGATTCCCTCCTCCAAGTTGGGTATCGCGTAATCATGAGTACGTCCCAATCCTCTTCCTCCAACCTCCGAAACCTTTTCCTGGATCAGGTTAAAGACTTTGGACTTCACGGCAACTCTGAACATGGCAGCTTTGCTCTCGAGCATCACATGGCGCGGCACAACAGGGCAGTGCAGGGAGTCGAGCTGCCGCAGGAGGTCGGTAGGGATACTGTAGTATGGGCATGCTGTGAGCACTGGAAGCCCTCTGGCCTCGGTGGCATGAACAGTCTTCGACGGGGGGCGCATCTGCATGACAAGCGAAAGGGCCGAAAAGGCGAGCGAGTTGCAAGCGCAAGTGCTTCCGGTAAGCCCTAGATTAAGTGGCCGAACGCGCCGAACTCTACACATATATTTAGAGGCGGGTTCCTTCCAAGACTTCATATTTCCATCAGGCCCGAGGTAGACACCCAAGACCTCCCCGCAAGTCCCATGCTTCAAACTCCGAAAATTCATCTTGACCGCGCGGAAGAGAGCAACGAACTCGTCGTCAGACATCTCTCGGGCGTGCGCTATCTCACACTTGGCAAAATTGAGGTGGAGACCTGCGCACTGGCTTGCGCGAGTGGCCGCCCTCATCACCGCCGGAGCGGCCCGCGGCAGATTGGCGGCACAGACTTGCACATCGTCAGCAAATGCCCGAGGGATTGCCTGGATCGTCATCAATTACTTGTGCAGCGCGCGCAGGAGGGGGCCAAAACATAACGCAAAAAAAAAACGCCACCGACATCGGGCATCCTTGCTTTCTCCCCTGGGTAATGCGGTACCCTGGGAATCGCTTTCCACGCAGACTGATAGCGGTAGCAATCTCGGAATACATGAACTGGATCGCTTGGATAAAAAACTGGGTGACCCCCTATCAGCTTTATCACATATATGATCCACTCGTGGCGCAGCGAGGGGAAGGCGGCGCGGAAATCCAAGAGCAGCATGCCCGCGCGGGGCTCGCCACGGTAGCAAACGCGCTCAAGCATGTCCGCTTCGAGGCGCAGAATGTTATCCAGCATGGATCTCTTGCGAATAAAGCCCGCCTGGGTGCCTAGTGCGCTGCGTTGGCATTGCTGCTGACAAGGTTCCGCAATAACCAACGACGCGATCTTATTGTCAGCGTTGCTGAGGGCGACGGGGCGAACCACAGAGGCTTCACGAGTCACTTCGGGGGGGCCGGCTTCGGCAGGCGTAACCACTTTCGGGGGGAACACAATGAGGGACTCATTGAACCCGCGGCAAACACGGCTAAGAAAATCACGGGCACCAAGCGAAAGCGCAACGCTGGGCCCCGCAGAGCCAGAGTCGTCCGAGGCACCACTCGGGTCGTTCAAGACCGCGAGATACACTTGATACAAGGCCTCATGAGCAGCCTCGCCAGCACAACGCCATGCGCTATACGGTACCCCGTCTGGACCTGTAGCAGAACCCCGTCTGCCATTCAGCTTGGAAACGAAGCTGCGGTAGTCGAGCTTCACTCAATGCCGGGGGCGACTTGTTGCATCTCCGCGTCGAGCAATAACTTCTGGTAGCGGCGTCCTTCCGCGAGTGGTTTTGCGGAATGAATTCCCCCCCCCCCCCAATGAGCGGCAAGGTTGGCCGCGCTGGAGGCCAGGTCCGGCGGGGTAGCACCGGTAGGGCCAGGGGCCACGGCGAGACAAATCCGACGGCGTTTCGGCGACCGCTGCCAAAGAGGGCGATGCAACCTACGAGAGCGCCCGTCGTCAGGAGCACCCCCGCGCTCAAGGTGCCCTCGAAGCTCGCGCTGCAGCATAGAGGCTTGCAGCCTACCCATCTCTTGAAAGAACTTCTGACTATCTCGAAAAACACCAGATTCAACATCAACAGAAAGACTGGGGCGAGGAAGAGCACGGACGCATTGGATAACCTCCCAAGACCTATTCCCACGAAGACCACGAACCAATTTCACGTGCACGGAGAGCCTCTGAGCGACGTTCTGGGGCCCATGCAGGAACATTCGGGCCATGATGGCGTCTTTGGCAACATGCGTCGCATCTTTGAAGGCTCTGAGCTTCTCGAAGGGGTCTAAGGGGAGTTCCGCAGACTGGATGGCCTCGGAGATCTCGCTGGAGAAGTCGGGGCGGCTCGCAATCCAGGCTGGGATAAAGCGGTTCGTCGCGCAGCCAGGCGTAAATTGCAGCCGCGCAGGAATGCGGTCGCCAGGCTGATTAACATCATGGGCCAGGCCAACGGTGCCGCACAGCGGCGTCGCATCAAGCAGGTCAGGCGTCGATGCGGCGACATAGAAGCGGTCGAGCCTACCTAGATGAGGAACTCCACCCCCCCGCTCCCCGACCTGAAGGTGGGCTCCATTTGGGCAATCTCGGCAAACTCTCCAACAGATCTCGAAAACTTCCGAACCATGGCTTCCCGATCTGGAGTAGGCTCCCTTCCATCAGTGTAACTCCTCATCCCCCCCCATCCTCCGAGAAATTAAAGTCGCCGCCCAAGATGACCAGCGTCTGGTCAGGTGACAGCGCGCACTCCGCGGCAGCTGGTTTGACTCCCTCCTTTTCCTTGTGCGTCAGAGTCGGGTCAAGGTGCATGTTGATGATCTGGATAGTCCCCTTCCTCCCTGTTAAGGTTACTGAAATACAGCGGCCAGCGGCAATCACGCGCCCCTGAACGTCGGAGAACTGCGAGGTGAAGGATGAGGACAGCGAGATAGTGACGCCACCAGCAGCAAACGAATTTAAAAAGGATCCGACATGAGAAAAGCTGTGATGCTCGCGCTCCAGAGAAACTATATCCTCATCAGTCCCATGGGTTTCCTGCATCGATACTGCTTTGTATGTTTGAACAAGACGTCTGACAATTCGTTGTTTCTTCTTTTGGCGGAGCGGGTTCCCGTAAACACTCCCAGAACATGCGCGTGTATTCCACGTAGCGAACCCTAACGACTTCGCGATGCAAAACGGGCGATGCTGCTCGCGCGGAGCAGCGGCACTTCCCCCGGAGGCAGAAGGAGGGGTGGAACAGCGTCTCTATCCCCGAGGCGCGGAAGAACAAGACGAGATGAAGTGCGATCAGCCCTCTCACGAATTTGAGATCGAAGCATACATCGATGAGCTGGCTCCTCAGCAAGCTTTGACGCATGCACTTCCTGGCTCTACTCCTGGCGCATCGACGAGACCGCCGAGTCGGCCAGCTTCCCGATGTCGTCGTCTGCGAGCCCATACTGGCGCAGCTTCCCGCGATTCGGCTCGATGCGAGGCTTCTCGCCCTCGAGGACAGCCTTGTGCTCCACCATCTCGTCGACGAGGTCGCCGTTCACAATGAAGCAGAGGCCCATGTACTTGTTGCAGCGCAGCTGCGCATTGACATTCCACGCGCCCGCCTTCAGCACGCACCCTTTATGTACTGCCAGATCTGCCCTAAGACCCAGCCCTTCCTCCTGACATCGACTGGCTCGTCGGCGCCGGCGCGCAGCTCGCGCATGAACCCGCTTTGATCGCCCCACTCAAGATCGAGGGAGCGCAACTGCATCAGCGCGTTCTTGACATCAAGGGGGTCCTCGAACTGAATAACAGACGCGTGCTTGCAACTCCTTGTGATGGCCTCGCAGCGGTCACGGTGGGGCGCCGCCAGCCGCGGCTTGAGCGACTGAAAATGGTTGTCGAATGCGGACGCCATCAGCTTCACAGGGAACCCCCGCATCCAGATGCGCGTCTTGTTCCCGTCAGGCATAGGAGCAGCAGGGAAGCTCGGAACCGATGGCCTGGCCCAACTCCGATTGCCCGATGAGGACATGGTCGAAGGTGCTGGTGACAGGCTGCTGACCGTGGCTGCGAGCTTGCTGATGGATTCCTCCATCTTGTTCATGTTCTCATCCGTCTTGGCGGCGAGCAGATCGATGTTCAGGCCGGTGTCGATCACGTCTTCGTCCACGTCTATCACATGCGAGCCAGGACGCTGTACTCGTAGTGCTGCGATCTGCTCTTGCATCGCCCCGAACTTGCGATCCTGCTCCGCGATATTTTCCTCCATGGTGTTCCGCATGCCCTACATGTCGTTGGTGAGCGAGGCTAGCGCAGTGTCATGTCTTTGCGCCGAGGCGACCACCATACCCATCTGCGTCAACAGCGCGTCCATCTTCGCGTTGAGGGCCATCGTACCGAGGGCTTGCAGACGCGTGAAGGTCGGGTAGTGTGTCGACCCTGAGGACTGCCAGGGCAGGCACTGTGTCCTCCAGAGGCGGGCCTTGCAATCGGGAAGGCCCTGCGCCTTCCAAAGCAGCTCGAGCTCCCCGTCGGCTGCGACCAAGGTCGAAGCGCCAGGGAAACGTTTCGACCTTGAGCCAAAATGGCTTGAGCCAAAATGGTTACGGATGATGATGATGATGATGATGACGACGACGATGATGGTGATTGTGACGGTGGTGATGATGGTAATGGTGATGATAATGGTGGTGAAAATAAGGACGATGATGTTGATGGAAATAATGAATAAAGCGACGATAAACATAACGATGACGTTGATGATGTTGATGATGAAGATGACATTGAAAATATTATTGATGATGATTATGATGCTGATGAAAATGGTGGTGATGATGATGACGGAAATAATGATGAATATGACCATTATGATGGTGATGATGTGCATGCTGATGATGCTGATCATGCTGTGATGACGATGATGAAGCTGAAAACGATGGTGTGGCAAATAATGAGGACGATGTTGATGTTGAGTATAATGGTGATGATAACGGAAATGGACATTATGATGGCGATGCTGGCGATGAGGATGCTGATGATGAGTATGGGAATGAAGATGCATATGATGATGGTGGTGGTGATGATGACGAGGACGATTATGATGAGTATAATGATGAATATGGTGATGATAATGATGATGATGATGATGGTGATGATGATGGTGATAATGATAACGGTGTTATGATGATGGTGAGGACGATGATGGTGCTGGTCATGATGGTGATGTGGATGGCGATGGTGTTGTGTATGGTCATGATGATGACGACTATGATGAAATAGTGAGTACCACGATGAGACGCCCATGGAGGCGATGATCCCCAAGTCGGCCCGAGACTGAAGAAGAGGATGAGGAGGGAGTTGGGACCAGAGCAAGCCCAAGATGAATCAACGGTGCTGCAATACACCCTCCCGTCCTAAATCCTTTCCTCGCACGTGCCTGCAAGTCTTGCTTTGCACTACAAGAAGCGCTACCTTGGAAGAGCAGGACTCCACTGTCATGCAATTCAGGCGAGAGCTTGCGTTGCATCCTTCTAGAGATCAAAAAAGAATGCGAAAAGGTACGATGATACCAGTGAGATCATCGCTTTGAGAAAGAACCGCACTGTTGCACAGAGTTACACGTCTGGCCATGAACCTCAAGGGCATCTCAAACGACAGGCATATCTTGAAATGGAACCAGCCTCTTTCAAATCAGCTTCAACAGTGCGAGAGTTTCGGAACTCTCTGTGTCAAGAACTCTCTAGCGAAGCAACAATTTTGTCGAAGGGACAGCCCTCCATCCCTGTAGCTGTTGCAACCTGGTAAGACGAATGTGCGTGGCGCTACGGCGAGAAAGAACTTTTGAAAAGGAGCCGCCCTCCACACTTGAACCTGCTGCAAACATTTAAGACGGATGTTCTCGGCGCCGAAGCGATAGCCCCATGTCGAAAAGCAACCGCCCTCCACCCATTGAAGCTGTTGCAAGCTTTTATACGAGTGTGCGCGGCTCTACGGAGAGAGAGCCTCCTTTAGACCCCACCCCGTCATCCCTGCGGCTGTTGCAACAGGGGCCATGAGACCTGACTTCGCGAACCAATTTGCAACATCGCGACAAATCACGACCGAACCCCGGGATTATATTATATTTGTGCTGCAGTTTTGGGGCGATCTGTGATAGCCTCGGGGCCAGAAACTGGGGGAAAACGACCAGTGTGAAAAAATTGCAACGCCCGGATCTCAGGTGATGATCAGGGCGGAGGTGTGAGGAACAAAATAATCGTGTTGGGAGGAAGGGGTTGGGAGGATGAAGGGTATGAACAATAGCGTCCAAATGCAATGAAAGATACCTTCGACCGTGTACGGGTAAGAATATCCTCGTTTCTCCCAACCCGATCATCGTCTTCATGAAGGAGGCAGGCGGCCCCAGCATCGAATCGATAAGCCGGATCGGGTCGACCGGAGCATCGAATCGGCAGAAGTCGGCAAAAGCCGGCAGCCAAATCGAAATCGGCTGAAGTCGGCACGGCCAAGCCGGATCGAGTCGGAAACCGGACCGCGTCAAGCCGGATCGGAATCGAAATCGGAACCCCCCCCTGGGGGGGGTTTGGGTTTTTTGAACCCCCCCCTGGGGGGGGTTTGGGTTTTTTGAAACCCTCCCTGGGGGGGGGGGGGTTTTGGAACCCCCCCCTGGGGGGGGTTTGAGGTTCCGGGTTTTTTTTGAACCCCCCCCTGGGGGGGGGGGTGGTTTTTTGGACCCCCCCCTGGGGAGGGTTTGAGGTTCCGGGTTTTTTTGAACCCCCCCCTGGGGGGGGTTTGGGTTTTTGGAACCCCCCCCTGGGGGGGGTTTGGGGTTCCGGGTTTCTTGGAAACCCCCCCTGGGGGGGGTTTGGGTTTTTGGAACCCCCCCTGGGAGGGGTTGGGGTTTTTGGAACCCCCCCCTGGGGGGGGGTTTGGGTTTTTGGAACCCTCCCCTGGGGGGGGGGGGGGGTTTTTGGGAAACCCCCCCTGGGAGGGGTTTGGGTTTTTGGACCCCGCCCCGGGGGGGGGGTTTGGGTTTTTGGACCCCCCCCCTGGGGGGGGTTTGGGTTTTTGGAACCCCCCCCTGGGGGGGGGTTGGACTCCCCCCTTGGGGGCCAGAGCCGGAGCGAAGCCGGATCGGCAAAAGCCGGCAAAAGCCGGATGACGCATCGAATCGGCAGAAGCCGGATCGGGCGAACTCGAAATCGGAATCGCGAATCGGAATCCCGGAATCGAGTCGGTTCGAAATCGGAATCGCGGAAATCGATTCGATTCGAACCGGCGGAATCGGAATGACCCCTGAGGAGGAGGGCTGAGGGCAGCCGGGCCGCTCACCACTGCTGCCCGCCCTCGGCGGCCTGGCCAGGTGCGCTCCAGTCGTCGTTGCCGGCCGCGGCGCCGGTGGTCATGTCGTCCCAGTTCCCGCCGGTGGCTTGGCCGCTCCAGTCGTCGGCGGCGGCGGGGGCCTCGACGACGTGACCACGAAGCCGACGCCGACGCTGAGGCCGCCGAAGATGACGACGAAGAAGACGAAGACGACGACAACGATGACGACGACGATGACGACGACGACGACGAGGGCGAGGGCGAGGACGAGGACAACGGCGCCCTGAGGTCTCCAAAGGTCACCCAGAAGACTCGAGAGTTGTCCAAAGGCTTCCTCCTGGAGGCCTCTGGAGACCAGGCCTCCTCGAGGAGGATTCTGGAGGAGGTCTCGTCGAGGAGGTCTCCTTCAGAGGCCTAGAAAGGATCCGATAAGCCCCCAGAGGTCCCCCCAGAGACTCCGCGGAGGTCTCTGGATGCCTCCCCAGACTTCGACGATACGTTTTTGTGTCAGTCGTGGCGGGTTTTTCCTTCATTTCGGCCATCGAGGGGGCCGTCCCCAGGGCCGTCGGAAACAGATCCCAGGCGAAATGCTGGCCGCGGGAAGGGCTCGGGACCTCTCGGGCCGCGCACTGAAAGAAAAAAGGACGTCTGGGTGCAGAAGGAACCACCCTCCTACGGAGCACCCTTGCGGGCGGAGCCCTGTAGCAAGCGCACCCGAGGCGGGGCCGAACGCGGCAGGACCGTCTGGTAAACGCACAGGGCTGCTTGATGAACGCCATTTGTGGGGTCGGGGTTGTTTTGCCTCCCTTGACCTTGGGCGCGACGTACTCCTGGGCGGGGAACTGGTTCTCCTCCTCTTGCCGCTCGAGCTCCTCGGGATCGCGCCAGAAGAAGGAGTCCACCATCACGTCCCACTGCTGCGTGCGCTGGATGGTGCCGCGCAGGTACTGCACCTCGCGGGCGAGCAACCAGTACAGGAGTGCGATGGACTCCTTGCCTTTGTTGTTGGCGGGGATGGAGATGTCGACGTTCTCCAGGCGGGAGTCGGTGTCGCAGAGGGCGAGGACCGGGATGCTTGCGTAGGCGGCCTCCTTCACGGCCTGCGAATCCGTGCGCGGGTCAGTCACGATCAGCAGCCGCGGCTCGAGGTACTTCTGGGTGATCTGGTTGGTCAGCGTACCCGGCATCCAGCGGCCCGCCAGCGGCATGGCGCCCGTGTACTGGCTGAACTTGAGCACCGCGCGGGAGCCGTAGGGGCGCTGGGACGCGACGATAATGTCTTGGGGGTTCTCGATTGCAACGATAACGCGGGCCGCGACCATCAGCTTCTCCCAAGTCTTCCCAAGGTGGATGATGTGAATTCCGTCCACCGTGCGGCGGAAGACGTAGCGCTTCATGCGGTAGTCGCAGTTCCGGGTGCCCAGATGGGTCTTGCAGACCAACATCATCTGGATGTCCTCTTCCTTGGTGTGCGCCATGGCCTACGACGCTCGGCTGGCGACCGCGCGTGCCGCCTGGTATCAAGGGCTCCCAACTTCGCGCTTCGCGCTGCGCGAAGCGCGAAGTGCGAATAACTTCGCGCTCTCGCGCCGCCTCCAAGGGGAGAAGAGGAGGGTGAGGAGGAGTCGGAGCCGAACCGCGAAGCGCGAAGCGCGAATAACTTCGCGCCCTCGAGGGCGCCCTTGCCTAGTATCCTGTGCAACCTGCTTGAACCGTGCTGGCTTGAGCCCGAATGGCTGCGGAGGAGCAGCAGCGGGAAGGGGGGAGAGAGGAAAAAGAAGCAGAAGCAGCCCCCGGGGCAGGAACAAGGAAAGGCGACACCACCAGGGAGGTTCTCCTGGTGGTGCGGTCCCCCCCCCGCTCGCTCGAGACATCCCCCATTGCCAGCTCGGGGAGGCATCGTAGACCCCTTCGCTGGAGGTGGCCCCCCTGGTGGTGGTGGTGTCACCTGAAAAGCCTCGGCCCTGGGCTCTCCGGGTGCGTGCTCGGGCCAGAGCTTCCAAGGCGGATCCGGCCGTGGCGACGAGGGCGTCCCAGGAGGCCCCCCAGGCCCATGGACGTCCAGGGAGGAGGAGGAGGATGAGAACCCCGCCCTGGGGAAAGGGCGGCTCGCGAGATCGCGTTGGCGCTCGATGCCTGGTCGCCCATCTGCGGCTGGGCGGGGCACCTTATCTTTTTGTCTCACCCATCTTGGGCTCGATGTCTACCTGTACCTCTCGCTGCACCCACGGCTGGCATCACGCGTGGGCGAGTGCGGATCCTTCCTGCGCCGACGCAGAGCGAGCTGAGCCCTCCCTCCCTCCCTCCAGTTGGTGGGCGGAAAGATACGGATACGTGTTGTCCCCGGACCTCTCTTGGGGTGCGTTCTGACCAGAATTTCGAGGCGAATCCAGCGGTGACAACGAGGATTCCCCAGGAGGACCAGGAAAGGCCGAAAACGACGGGGGACAACACGTATCCGTATCTTTTTCTCCCCCGACCTCCCTCCCTCCAGCGTCCGCTCCCCCGGCGCGAACCGGGAAGCACCAGCGCCGATCGGTAGCCCGCCGCGCCCGCTGGGCCCTCTCGCTTCTCGCGCCTGGCCTCCTCCCTGGGCGCCGGCCTGGGCCCTCCGGCCTTTTCTTTTTGCCCCACGGCGCGGGCCCCCGATTCGGCGTCTGGGGACCTCCTGCTGATCCTCCTCCTCCTCCTCCTCCTCCTCCTCCTCTTCCTCCTCTTCCTCCTCCTCCTCCTCTTCCTTCTTCTTCGCTCGCGGCTCGATGTCTAATAGACGAAGCCGTTCCTCCTCCTCTTCCTCCTCCTCCTCCTCATCCTCATCATCATCCTCTTCCTTTTTCGCGTTAGACAAACTTGAGCAAGACGCTGTGACGTCTGGGATGTCAGAAAGATGCAAAAACGACTCGGGTCAAATAACCTGGCGGGCGCCGCGGAAAAGGTGGCAACACGAGCACAGGATGATATAATGAATGAGAGTAGGCGCCCGCCAGGTGTAACGGCAGTCGCCCGAAGAGAAGCACGACGTCAATTTATTACTGGTGAGTGTCGTCGCAACTCAGCATTGACAACCAGTCAAGCAATGCAATGTTCAGGCTGCTACTATGGTACTGTATGTCAATCCCCCCCATCCTGTGTAACCCATCCTCCCATGTCTTTCTTTGTGCGTAGGCTATATAGCCAAACTGAAGAACGAAGCAAGGTACAAGCAATGTGCCATCCTGGGGCTGCGACCCCGAACTTTAATTGTAAGAGGCATGGTACGCCGAGTCTATTGATAGGAAAACGGTCGTACTGCACGCGAGGCTGGCCTGGTAGGCTGGCCTCTTGAGTGCTGTCGCCATCGTGCTGCTGAGGGGCAGGCAAAGCTAGTGTGCAATTCTTGGGCTGCTACCCTCAGGCAGGAAAAGAAAGCGGCTATATGCATGCAATTGTTGGGTTGCTACCCTTGGTGAAGGGGAGCGGTAGGTCACATGTCAAAGAGGAGAAATATGGATATACGTTGCTGTGCAGCAAACACTTGCGCAGTGCTGAAGAAGGCTTGCCTATGTAGGCTGGCCGGGTTGGGGAACAAATCCCTCTGGTCTGTGTAGCCCTCCACACCTGACGTGTGAGGAGCGTGCCGAACAAGGGAGGCGGGAAGGGAGGAGGAGGAGGAGGAGGGCGGAGGAGGAGGAGGGCGGAGGAGGAGGAAGGGAGGAAGGAAGAAGGGAGGGAGACGCCGGACGCTGCTGACTAAAAACGAGGGCCCAACACCACAGGATGGCGGGGAACAAATCGTCGTGACGTGGTCCGCGACGCGAAGCGGCGGGCGAGGTCAGCCTCGAATCGATACATCGCATCGGATCTTGCCTCGGGTCGTACCGCATCGGCGCAGAGCCTGAACCAAAACGGATCGGCCGCGACAGAATGCACGTCGGCGCCATGCAAGCACCGCGCTGAGCCGCATCGGACCGCCGGGATGCCACAATCGAATCGGATCGGGCCTGCCGAAGTCGAGGTCGACACGAATCGATCGGATCAGGGTCGAAATGGGCCCTGGGACTGGTAAACCAGAAGGTATCGATACCGCTGCTGGAGGAGGAGGAGGAGGAGGAGGAGGAGGGGAAGGAGGAGGGGGAGGGGGAGGAGGAGGAGGAGGAGGAGGAGGAGGAGGAGGAGGAGGAGGAGGAGGAGGAGGAGCCCTGGACCTCTCCAGGGATGCGTTCTGGCCAGAATTCCGAGGCAAACCCCAAATCGCGGCGACGCCGCCACGGACCTCCCAGCAGGCCCAACCGGGCGAAAACAAGGGAAGGGTAGCAACAAAGCCCATAACATCGCGATGCAAAGACAAATGTGCGTTGACAGACTGCACAAAACCTGCACCAAGCTAAAAGCGAGCACTTCACAAGATTGACTGGTGAGCCTTGTGCCGAGGAGAAAACGAGGAAGAGGAGGAAGAAGAGGAGGAGGGAAGGGTAGCAGAATCGGTGCCTGCTCAAACATTCGATGTCCTGATTTTTTCAAAACGGTGTCCCTGGAAGCCCCGATCCTTTCTTCCACGCCGGGACTGCATCCTGGGAAACTTTGTTGACGGTCGCGTGGCTCGGCGAGGACCTCCAGAGGTGGAAAACTGAGTTTTTCACTGTGTTAGGGCGACGCAATCTATACATATCCGCTGCTCCCTGGCCAGGCCCATGCTGAACACAGCAGCTGTGTATACGCCACGCCATCCTGGTTTGGCCAGGAGGGCGTATACACAGCTCCTGGGTTCAGGATGGGCCTGGCCAGGGAGCAGTGGATATGTATAGATTGCGTCCCCCGATGTGTTGGAGGTTTGAGTAGGGAAGGGTAGCGGTATCGCTGACTGTTCCTGCTCCGATGGGAGGCGGGGGGTCTCCTCCTCCGCGATCGCCGCCCTGCCCGCCTCGAGGGAGCGCGCGTAAGCCAGGGTGAGGGTGTCGCGGGTGGCCGCGAGCTGCTCGGCCATCGCCTGCGCACACAGCCATCTTTGAAGGGGCCCCAGGACACACAAATAAATACACACAAATAAAAAGATTCCGCATATTTTCCCATATTTTCTGGGTTTCTGTCTTCCCCCCCACTTCCTATATTTTCCCATATTTTCTGGGGAATCGAGGATTAATTGTGTCTGTGTGTTTCTTTTCCTCCTGAATCTTATTGTCATCGTCGAGGAACAAACAACGCCATGAACATCAGAGGCACGTGCGAACTTCTTGGATCGGCGCTGGCCCTCCTGGAGGCGCCTCTGGCGCCACCCTTCGCGCGCTGTGCGCGCCAGGGGGGGGGGTTCGGCACCGATCCAAAAGATCTGCGCGGACCTCGGAAAGTTGATGTTCGTGGCGCTGTTCCTTCTTCGGCACAGGATCGGGGAGACGTAAGACCCGGGTACGGGGGACTCGGAAATCCCCGACGAGGTCGCCAAAAAAATGACGAGGCCGAGCCTGCATTTTGACGAGGCCTCCCGCTGCAGACATCCCACGAAACTCCTCCTCGTCAAAATCCGAGTCGCGGTCGTCAAAAAAAATGGCGAACCCGAGTCCTGGCAAACCCGGGTCTTACGCTCCCCCGATTCTTCGGCACAGGAAGCGCCACATGAAGAACGAAAGGGCTTTTCGGGCCACTGTGAGCCTCGGCCGCGAATACAAGGTCCCCAGGCCAGAACATCTTCAGAACGAACCGAAAACCAGGGCCCTCCTGCATGGCTCGACCCAAACAGTGTTTGTCTTGTTCGTTTTGTGTTTGTTTTCCCTCATTGTGTCTCCGCCTTTTCTGCAAAACGATAGTTAAACGAAAATGGTCCACGAAATCGCCAAAACACAATTTAGGTCCTGCCCTCCTGAGACCAATTTGGTCCATATTTCATCGTCTTGACTGTATCTGTCGGGGGTTGACGGCGGCGCCCTCACGGACGATAGAGAGAGAGAGGCAGCTGTGGGCCACGCTTGAAGACGAGGAGGAGGAGAAGGAGGAGGAGGAGGGGGAGGAGGGGGAGGGAGAGGAGGAGGGGGAGGAGGAGGAGGAGGAGGAGGAGGAGGAGGAGGACCCAGACCTCCTTGTGTCGCGACAAAATCAAGACGGAAGGTTTCCCGCAATTCTCGGCATCCAGGAGCAATGGCCGTGCCGCGGGGCCGTAAGAGAACGATTAGGACTGAAAAGCTGGTCCCGGGTAAGGAGTCCAAGGCAGAGGCGGAGGCGGAGGTGGATGAGGATGATGATGATGATGATGAGGAGGAGGAGGAGGAGGAGGAGGATGAGGAGGAGGAGGAGGAGGAGGAGGAGGACGAGGAGGAAGAGAAGGCGGAGGAGACAGACCACGACACAATGCGCGACTTCTGCGCGGCCTACCCATCAGAAAGCCACGGGCTACGCAGCCACATAACAGCTGGCTATGGCCTGGAATTGCACCATCCACAGAACCAGGGTACTGGAAGAAACCAAGCTGGACGTCGCCACGCGCGACGCGGTCACGAGCGACGTTGTCTACCTCGACACGAGCACCGCCTGCGATCACAGCGACGACCAGTCGCGCCGCGCCAGCGGGCACGCTCGGGCTGGGACGGCCTCGCAGCCCAGAACCACGAGGACAACAAGCGCTGGAGGTACCCATCTCATGGTAGCGACCC